TGAGGTTGGGTTGTGAAACTTAGGGAATATTATCACTGAGTTTGGGAACTGGGATCGTTTGCTTATCTGCACAGGTGATGAATTGATGGATGGGTTAGAGATTGGCTGGTTATTTCTGGGGACATTTGTGGCCAGGTAGTGCCAGGGGTGAGGTATAAAGTAAAAGCAGTGAGAGGAGATAAGAAGGAACCCAGTGTGTTACCAAGTAGTACGTGCCACTTTGAGTCACCAAAGGCAGGGTAGGGCAGCAGCCATCTCCGAATGGAAGGTGATGAAGGGTTTGTCTTTTAAGTCTTCCTTTGCCACTCCCCATCTGCCCACTTTTCCAAAGTAAGCATTATTAATTTTTTAGATTTGAAAATATGTAGAGCATAGGAAACGTAGCCAATAGTATTATAACTATGTACGGTATCTTACTGGAAATATCAGGGAGAACACTTTGTAAATTTTATGATTAACTACTATGCTGTACATCTGCAATTAATACAAAATAACATTGAGTGTAAACTATTATTATTGAATATTATTGAAAATGTTATTGAAATATTGAAAATATTATTGAAATATTATTGAAACTATAATTGAAAAATTTAAAATATAATTTACTAAAGATTTAAAAATCATAATAGGATGATAGATAGTATGTCTTGGAAAAAAGAGAAGACTTAAGAAGTCAAATACAGACTTCCTTTCGTGCTTTATTTCGAAAGGGTCTGATTCTCTCCCACCTACATGTCCACTCATGTTCTCTCATGTCTAAAATTTTCCTTAAGAGATTTCTTTCCAATACTTTTGATGCCTGCGAAAATGTTCCCAAGAGGAGCGACACCCCCCCATCCCCAGTTATTTACATCAACAACCCTGAGCATGTGGCTCTTCCATGGCAACTTTTGGTTTTTCCAAGGCCTATAATTTTGGAATTGGAATGTCCCCTCCTACTAGACTGAAGTTAGCATTGGAGAAGACTTTACAACTTTTAAAGAAAATAATTTACTTTTATGGCAGTTTTAGGTTTATAAGGAAATTGAGCAGAAGATACAGAGATTTCCTATATATCCTCTGCCCTTCGTTTTTCGTCTTGTAAGATTGTAGACCCAGACTATGGTGGAGGAGCTCTTTTCCACCCCCAGTCCCAATCCAAGGTTAAAACAGTGAAATTCCCAAACTTTTATGTTCTTGGCCTCACCTGGGGAGGCTCCTGGACCAGGGCCGTGGACACCTTCAACAAGACGGGACCCTGCTCTTGGGAAACTGGATGCGTGGTTGCCGTTAGGAAAAGGGGCTCAGTGGGGGTGCTCAGGAGCCCGTGTCCTCTTCCGTGGCCCCCATCCTGTGGGCGCTCATCCACTGATACTCAGTGACAGGACTAACAACACGATGGTAGCTGCTCCCTTGAGCCAGAAACATCAAGATGCTTTTCTGCCTTGGTCACAGTCTCCCCATCCACCAAAGGGGAGGAGGTAAGAATGAGAATAGAAGTGAAAGAATGGGAGACTAGAAGGCGGTGAGACCCATGAATATAGGAGTCACTTCTTTGGGGAAAAAATTTTTTTTCCCTGCAAGGTCCCTTTTATAGTTAGATGTTCTCTTATTTATATGGACTTCAAATAAGATAAAGGTACCCCTTTAAAAGGCTGGTTTTAAAAGTGTTTTACTATGAAAATTCTCAAACATATTAAAGTAGGGAGACTAATATCATGCACCTCCATCTACCCATCGCTCAGCTTCAGCGATTAAATGTCCACTTTTATACCTCTCTTATCCCCTTCCTCAAAATGAATTATTCAAGAGCAAATCCTGGCCATTTTATCATTCCAAATAGAAATACTTTGGTATGAATCCCTAAAAAAGTAAATAACTAAAATGAATAACTCTGATGATTTATAAATCTTAGTCTTCTTTTCTCGCCATTCCTCATGTGTGATTGGACTTTGAATTCAGTAACTTGAGTTCTCGACCTGGTTCTGCCTCTCACCAGCTGTGATCAGTGGCAAATCATGCACCTTTCTGGACTTGAGTTTTCCCATTCAAGTGGGTGAAGTAGATGATTTCTAAGGTCTCTTCCAATTCGAGAAATAAAACAAATTTGCAAGCATTCTTTAAGCCTCAAGAGACATATACCATATTTTCAGACTATAAGACGCACCCCTCTCCCCCTTGGGAGGAACAATGGTTGTTAATGATGCTGTTGAGTTCTGTTTACATTCACATTGGAGAAATATTATGTTATTTATGTTATTAAATGTTTTGCCACATTTTTTGCTTCAAATTTTTTTTTCCCTATTTTCCTCCTCTAAAACCTGGGTGCATCTTATGGTTTGAAAAGTACGTAGATTTGGTACAGGATCTATTTGCTGTTTGCTTTCTTGGTGCAGTGCCCAGTTCACGGTCAAGGCCCTCCCGGGCTTCACATCCCAGCAACTACTGAGTAGCAGAATCTTTGAGGTGAAGCTTCAAAAAACAAATCAGCCTTGGAGGCATTCCTCAGGGCAGTTTTGGGTGTGTGTCATTATCTCATGGCCTCCGTTCATCTGAACAAGTGTTCTGCTGAGTTGTAATGCTGGGAGGGTTCAAGTGTTCCAAACAGATCCTTGTTTTAAAAAGACCACCCTGTCTCAGCTGGTATGGCTCAGCGATTGAGTGCGGGCCTGTGAATTGAAAAATCACCAGTTCAATTCCCAGTCAGGACACACGCCTGAGTTGTGGGGCCAGGTCCCCAGTAGGGGGTGTGTGAGAGGCAACTGATTAATGTGTCTCCTGCACATCATTGATGTTTGCTCCGTCTCTTTCTCCCTCCCTTTCTCTCTCTCTAAAAATAAATAAAGGAAATATTTTTAAAAGGCCATTCTAAAGTCTATAGCTAGTAAAAAGTGATGTTTACATGGTTTGGGGGTGCAGAGGGTAAATTACTCTCTTATGTAAGGAACTGATAGGCGCCCTGTTACAGGGTAACTATGAAGAAATAAAAATAGCCATTCTACAGGCAAATCAATGGAGTGTAAAGTAAGGTACACTTAAGTTGCCTGGTAAATAAAGGATTAAGTCTGGGATAGAATATGTCTTGAAATTATGGAAAACTATGCTTATTGTAGGGGCTAAGGTTTAGAGAAAGATAGGAGTCCTCTTTGGTGAACGGAAGAAACTCTGGGTGAGAAGGTGGCACCCAGCCCCGGAGAGTACTGCCAATGTGCTCCTCACAGTATGTGTCACAAGCTTTCGTGCGCAGCCTCCATGGGTTCCCACAGCATCCTTAGGGCCAGGACAACAGGATGTGAGTTGCAGGTGGTCCAGCATGTCTCAGCTGGGCAGTGAGGGAGACCAGCTCTGAACCGGGTTTCGGCCACAGCTGGCATCTGTCCCATTCCTCCACAGCCTGAAGAGAACCAGGGAAAGGAAACTGGAGGGATGCTGTTTGAGAAAAAGAAACTTGGTCATCAGTGTACCGGCAGAAGAGCAGATGCTTTTAAAAGCTCTAATATATATATATATATATATATATATATATATATATATATATATATATATATATATATTTAAAATCACACCCCTAAGAAGGAAAAAAATGAAGTACCCAAATGGAAAAAGCCTCCAAGGTCACCATTTCAAACACAAGTTTTAATCAGCTCTGACATTTTGCAGGGAATTAATTGAAGTTATTGACACGGATTATTGTTTTGGTGGCGGGGTTTTAAAGCAGGGGATAAGATTAAAAGGGACCAAACTTGAGGGCCGTTCTTTCCAGCTTAAACCAATATTCCATAGTGGGAAGTTCACTGCACCTGGGAGCTGGGGTTGTTACTGCCCTCAAAGGGGCACCTGGACACACTTCCAGCTGGAGGAGGGTCGAACGTTCATTCTCAGTGACCCTGTCGACTTGCACCACAGCTCCTCAGAGATTAGATGCCGAGGCCCGTCCTTAGCAGGAAACAGTAAAGGAATCAGCAGGAAGCCAAAGCCAAGGGAAGGGAAACTCCTCCCTCCTGTCAAAGGGCTGGAGTGAGGAGGAGGTGGCAAGTGGGAGCTGTAGGCTTGGGAAGGGAGCTTGATTGAATCTTGAATGGAAGTGAGGAAAAAGCATGTGCCCCAAGGGCAAGAACTGGGGCTAGACTGTTGTGTTTATCTCTACCTGCTGCTACTCAGTCCTGCTGAAGTCACACCGTCCCCGGGACCAGGAAAATGCTCGTGCCTCATTCACAGGGGCGGTGGATTGTGTGTTTTCGGAGGTCCCGTAGCCCACTGCGGACAGCCGCCTCTTAGTTCTGATTTTCGGCTTATTCAAGGCCAGAGGACCCACACCTCAAGTTGAAATTTTTACCAGGAGAAAAGAGGAAAGTATAAATGGCATCAAATCATAAGTACTTAGTGTGAAGGAGCAGAGGAATGCAAAGTTATTTTTGTTTTACCTGGTTCTTTGTAACAGAAAAGACTGTTCTCGAGCCACAGGGAGAGTCTGTGTTTCAATGGGAGCAACTGAGTCCAAGATGAAGAAACTGACTATCTGGAATCTGACAACACTTTTCTTGTAGATTGGAACTCAGCTTTGAAGAGTCACTTCTTGAGCTTGGCTCAGGGAGTTATGCTACTCCTGAAGAAAAAGAAAATTGAGCCTGTTACGTGGAAAGTATTCAGTGATGAAAAAGTAGCACCTCGCTCCCTTATCTCATCAACGGTGCAGTGGACACCAATGCTAGCAATTTCCTGTTTAGACTGCTACCTGAAGAAAGAAAAAACAAACGTTACTGAATGCTGATTCTACTGTGTCAGTGGGAAAAAATTTCCTGACAGGCAAATGGCAAACAACAAAGCTTTTGAAAAGCCAGGCCTGGGGAGAGTAATGCAGTTTCATAATGGGTATGAATAGTTATTTTGCTGCTTTACTTTTTTTTAATCTTTCTGGTATTTTTTTGTTGTTGTTGTGGGTCTCTTTCTATTCGTTTAGGAAATTGTGACGTGTGTTCTGGGCAGGGTCTGAGGTTTTAGAACCCTTTCTAAAAGGGACAGAGAACGCCCTGCTACATTTCCTAATCGTGGGGTTGGCGTGCAGGCGGTGGAACTGAAGTGAGCTGGTCACGATGCGTGTGCTTCTCCCGTGCAGTCAGCTGGCCCTGGCTCTTGCCCTTATCCTGGTTTTGGACTCCTCAGTTCAAGGTAAGCCCCTGGACTCTGGTTCTCCTATAATCTTCTTTGTAAACCCAGGGCCACACAAACTTGAAGGTACAGAACTTGTTACACTTGGGAAAGAAGGCAAAGGAGGAGGATTGTGGTGACTGAACTTCTCCGTGTGAGTTCGGTTAAGTTTGATTCCGGGAAATATTAAACTCTCAGGCAGACGCAGCCTTGTAAAGTCTTACAATGATTGAATTGCACTACTTGATTTCTGGATGAAAATGTATGGTTTTTAAATTTTTTAAAGCTTGGAGAGGAATAACGACCTGTCCCTTGGAGGAGACGGCACCTCTGAGGTTTTGGAGCATCTGCCTACCCCTGAGGGTCTGCATCTGTCCCAAGTTCTAAGGCATTATTACAGTGGTGTCATGATTATTGTAACACCGGGAAGTGCTAGTTTCAGAGTCCATTTTTTTTTAGTTTTTAAATGTAAAAATGTGTTTATTCACAATTCTTGAGAAGTTATCATTCCTTCAAAATATTCTTTATGAGCAAGATGCCAAAAAATTACAATAGTAGCTTATGCCAAATGAAAAATATACACCTGAAGCATACAAACTTTAAAAAGCATAGGACAGGCATTGTGAATGCAGATCACCTTTAAAATATTTCCCATGACATAGTTACAACTTAAACTATGTCAGGGCAGACATTAATAATAACATCTGAAACATTTACATATTTAAAGTGTCATATTCGTATTTCTTTGAGATAAAAAGATGAAACTGTAGATGTCATTCCCTAGCACTTCAAATATTGAGAGGACCACAAGATTCTTTTTTTAATAATCTGTCCAGCAAGAACTTTAAATTACTGTTTTTACCTGGACCTTCCTGTGTTACTGAGAATGTATACTATCATTGTTACAAGAAAAAGAAATTAAAAAAAAACAAACCCAAGGAAAAAATCAAAAGAGTTTGCTTACTGAAGTCATTTCAATCCTCAGAAAAATCAAGACAAGAAATTAGGGAGTATCTTTCAATTGATCCCTAAACTTTAGAGAAAAGAAGCGTTCACTATACATCATAAAAACTAGTCACATATAGTGATATGCTTAGTTGTGCTCATTAATGTACCTTGCATTAGGAGGCAAAGGAAAGCTTAGTAAAAATCAAAAGATCCTCTCACACCAGGAAGGATTTTATTTACTTTGAAATACCCATGTTCCTCTTTAGGTTTTCTTCTCTTGCTATATCGTGCACAGGGAATATATTCCATGGAGACTCTTTCTGAGACTGGTCACTAGAAATATGAAGTTAAAAAAAATGTCACCTAGAAATTTAATGTATAAAATCAATATTCAATCACAGTACATGTAAAAGGAAGTGAAAACCGGAGTCTATTTTCTTCGATGTTATAATCAGAGTAAATTTATGTGTATTTTTTCTTCTTTTTTAACTTGGTTCTTAGTGAAAATTCAGCTATAGTAAGGCATAGTTTATGAAAAGCCTCTTAGATTTTAAAGAGAGACCAAAGAATTTTAGTATTTGTGCTGTTGTTGCTCAAAGAAACATCACAGTTGGACATTTCTTGTTAGGTTTCTCTGTCATTTAAAGTTGTTTAGTCAGACAGACACACAACTTTGAATAACTAGGAAAACAAAAATGATCAGTTTCTAAGGAATGTACAATGTCTGCTCTTTTGGTAAATAAGAGACCCTGTGTAAATAAGGCAGGAGGTCACGGCCTGATAAATAGATGGGAGAATTTATATTAAAAAAACATGAAGTTTCCCTAAATCGTAAAGGAAATACTGAGTCACGGTGATACGTATGTTCCAGATTTCTTCCTCTGAAGTAACTTCAGTTTGGCTTTTACTTCCTGCGGAAGTGAAATCGTATAGATGATATCAGATACGTTAATTATGTATGGGTACTTTATAATAAAGTCATTTTTTCTTGTCATGCAATTACTGAAGAACAAACAGCAAGTAATGTTCCTGAAACTTTTCCATTAATCTATTTATTTTTTAAAGTATGAAACATTGCTAACTGTAGGGAATAGGCTTTACTTGGACCTTTTAGGGAATGTCTTCAGCTTGGTGAAGTCATCCCATGTTCTCACCAGGTCTGGAGCAAAGAGGCACGCGTTTGGTGGGCCACAAAGAGGCCCGCTAGAGCGGCCAGTGGTGCTGGGTCTGCCCTGGCCAGAGCTATGTGAGTCTTTCCATTGTCCAGGTTTCCCAGAAATGTCACGTTCCCCACTGAGATTCCACAGGTAAAAAACTAGGATTAGAACAGAACAATTCCTATGTAGGAGGTGTTCATCAAAACAAAGTGAAAAGAGAAAGAAACCCTTACGAAACTGTATGTTGTACTAGCATTTATGTCCCCACCTGGTAGGTTTAGCTATTGGTTGGAAAAGAAACTGAAAAAGAGAACATGAGTGGAGTGAAAAACTAGGGTGTTTCCAAAGAAGTACACTTGGTGTTAGAACTAAGAGTTTGTGTCTACTTCCGAGTAAGAGGGGAACTAGGTACTCACCCACACAGCCTGAGTGAGTGACGGCCGCAGCACTGTGCCACTGCAGTTGCGTGATGCCAGCTACAATTCAACAGCATTCCTGCCCCACCTTGAAAGGTTTTTACTTAACCCATTGGTTTAACTGAACTGATCAAACTGACTAGGCTTTTGGCTTGCTTTTAGTGAAGAAATCCAAACATCTTAGGTTACTGTGTTAGTTTGCTAGGGCTGCCGTAACAAAGTACCACAGACTAATGACTTAAGCAAAAGAAATTTATTTCCTCATATTTCTGGAGGCTAGAAGTCCAAGATTAAGGTTAATTTCATTCCGAAACCTCTCTCCTTGGCTGCTAGCTGGCTCTTATCTCTGTATCTTTACTTGGTCCTTCCTCTGTATATGTATATGTCTGTGTCCCTGTCACTCTTCTCCTAAGGACATCAACCATGTCGGATTAGGGCTCATCCATGTGACCTCATTTTACTTTAATCACCTCTCTTAAGGCCCCTTCTCCAAATATAGTTCCATTCTGAGGTACTGGGAGTTAGGACTTCAACATAAGAATCAGGGGCACAACCCAGCCCATAGCTCTTACTGTAAATCAAAGCCAGGTAAAGACACGGTATGAAACTGTCTGCCGAGCCGCCATGGAAGCTTGGCGATGCGTGGGAGACCCTGGGAAGCACGGGTGGCGGCTCCGTTTAAAGTAGAGAGCTCCAGGGGCCTGATGACGGACAGGCCTGTGAATCCTAAACCCTTTCGTCGCCTCTCTTTTTTGAAGATGCCCATAAAGGGAGAAACTATAAAATCCAGGAGCAGGCATGGTGCAGGGAGTCAGGGCCGGAGCACGTGTCCACTCCACACTGTCTCCCAGACAGCAGTAACGATGGCGATCCCGCCCCGGGGCTGCAGTTTGGTTGCAACGGATGTGACATCCATTCCTTGGTCAATGGTCGCCACGTTCTCTGTGAGGAGGAATCCACACCGATGCAGACAGCAGAAACCTGGATCGTACACTCATGGTCTCACTTGCTCTTCACATCGAGCGTTTGCAAATAATTTCTGAGACTTACCCAAGGCCCATTACAACTACTTAATGGCAGAACTCATCTAATTTCAAGGTCAGTTAACTTTCTACTGAAATTTGGCCATCTTGTGGTGAATGACAGGTTTTCTTTATTTGAAACAAAAAAACCTTGCTTTGAGTAGAAATTGAAAGTAAACAGGATACTTTGTTAGCTTGTAAAACCACTCGGGGTGGGAGCCCCTCTCCGTGTGGGAGAGCTGACTGGTCAGTGGGAAGCAGCCTGGGCTGAGACAGCGAGTCTGTCTGATACCCAACAAACGGCCAGTCGGAGGGGTCCCTCCGCCCCTCCTCCCAGGGCAGTTGCTACTTAGGCTTGCTCTACCACACCTGCGGCAAGTCCCCGTTTGAACAGGAAATTAGTAAATTTTGTTGATGTTGGGGGAAAATTGGCACTGCAATATGGAAAGGTACAGAAAGCTTAGTGGGTAAGCTATTTACTCTGGTAATGTTTATTTATAGAAAATATTTTGGTAAAGCAGGACTAGAGACAGAGAGAAGAGGGGCAGTGGGCAAGGAGAGAAAAGGATTCTAAATAAAAACCGCTCTTTGCCCCAGAGTCCGCAACAAAATGAACCAGCAGATCCAGTAAGTGAGGCCTATTAGGAAGATAATCAGTCTTTCAGTTCACGGGCACGCTGCCTTTTAGTTTTTACAATATGGTAATTGTAAAATATTTCTCTTAAGCAAGATAGAGTCAAGAAACTCCTGCAGCATCAGAGGCTGGAGCTGTTGAGTTTTCATGTCCTGCCAACACCCTTGAAGAGTTAGGTCTGGAGCTGTGCATCTATGATCACGTTCTTTATTTTAGATTTCCAAGCATGATTTCCAATACTTGGAAATATGCTAGATTGCCAGGCACGTGCTAGATTTGCTAGCATCAAATATCCAAGATATGCTAGATTTCCAAGCATCAGTCCCAAGTCAGATAAACTCTTGGAGTAGGGGGTCACTTTTACCTTTAATTTCTTTATAAATCTTTAAACAGGTTTATTGAGATAGAGTTCACATACCATACAATTCACCCATTTAAAGGGAAAGCGTCCCATTCAGTGGTTTTCAGTGGATTAACAGATGGACACGACCATCCCCATAGTTGACCTCAGAACATTTCGTCACCCCCGCAAAAGAAACCCCCTTCATAAATTTTAAATTCTGAACTCTGGGGGAAATTTTGTATTTTAGATTTTTAAAAATTAATTTATCAAAGGTTTATTTGTTATACCAGAGAAAAGATGTGGTCAATCACCTGGTTCTTCCTCATAAACGATGAGATTTCCTTTCCGTTGCACTTTCTGTCTCTGTGAATGGTTTTTTGGCTTGGTACCCAGTGCATCAGCCACATGTGGGGAAGACTGCCTAGACCTGCTCCGTCCAAAATGACAGTCACCAGCCGCTCGTGACTACTGAGCTCTTCAAATGTGTATAATGGGCCAGTCCAAACTGAGACACGCTTTAAGTGCAAAATATTACACCAGATCTGGTCTCGGTATGAAAAAAAGAATGTAAAAAACCCACTCATAATCAATTATATTAAATAACAATATTTGAATATGTTGGTTTAAATAAAATGCATTAAAATGAGTTTCACTTGTTTCTTTTCGCTTTTTGAAATATGTGCTGTAACATTGAAAATTCCATACGTGGTTTCGTCTGCTGTTTCTATCGGACAGCACTGGTCTACACAGTGACTTTCAGCCTTTTTCATCTCATGGCTCACACAAACTTAATTGCCAAAATTCTGCAGCACACCAAAAAACATTTTTTGTCCATCTACAAAAAATAGGTATAATTTTGATTCATTCACACCAGATGGCTGTTGTTGTGTTGTCCGTTGTCACTTTTTTATTTAACAATCTAAGGGAAAAGAGGTCAGTGCCCCTGATTAAGTAGGTACTGCATGTTTTGAAGTTCTTGCTGCAAAACGATGAATAGCTGGTCTAGACAATATAGGGTGTGAATATAGCGCCCTCTGCTGGAGGCAGTGTTGCTGCTCTGTCACCTACAAGATCAGCTTCTAAGTAGTAAGTAATTAGATTCCAAATTTAAGCTGCTTCAGGAAAGAATCAAAGGAGAAAGAAAGAGCTAAAATGTATTAAATACCAACCATATGCAAAAGCTTGTGCTAGATGTTTCACCAATGTTTATCTTGCTTAAATAAAAACCCTTTAGGATACTATTTTTCACACTTGAAAAAGATGAAAAATTGAGAGTCAGAGAGAGGCCTTAAATGGTAGAACAATAATTTAAATTCTGGTCTCTCTACAAGCTATATTCTCTATCAGAGATAGGTCTTTGTTCTAACCAGAGAAACTAGCTCTTAAAGAGTTCTGCCCATGGTGTTATCCTAAGATGTGGTATTTGTAGCTGGTCATTAGGTCTGTTATTGCCCCCATTTTATGGATGAGGCAACGGGAGGTTAAGTACAGGGAGGTTAAGTAAGTTAGTCAAGGTCACACAGCTGGTAAGGGGCAGACATTGTGATGCCATCTTGCTACCTTACCCCGCCTCCAGGCACAGTCGCAGCTGACCCATTCTTAGTGACTGGCTGCCCTGGACTAGACATCATTTTCAGGACCCGTGAGGAAGACTGAGATAGGACAGTGATTCCAAAGGAAAAAAGGAAGGAAGGGAGGGAGGGAGGAAGGGAGGGAGGAAGGAAGGAAAGACAGTGAAGAATATTTACCTTTTTCTACGTTAGAATCTTGCTTTTGTTTATATTTTTAAAGAAATATTGTTTACTGTAGCAATTTAGAAAATAAATGAGAAAAAACTCCAGTCTATCACTACTTATTTTTGTGTATTTTCTTCCATTTTCCTTCATCTGTTTATGTAGTTACATGAACAATTATGCATGCAGAGTGGTATTATGTTATTTTCCATTCATTTTAAAATATAGATTTTCCTATGATGTTAAATAGCCTTTTTTCTTTTTTTTTTTTAAAGATTTTATTTATTTATCTTTAGAGGGGAAGGGAAGGAGAGAGAGAGAAACATCAATGTATGGTTGCCTCTCGTGCATCCCCTGCTGGGAACTGGTCTGCAACCCAGGCATGTGCCCTGACTGGGAATCGAACCACGATACTTTGGTACACAGGCCCGCACTCAATCCACTGAGCTACACCAGCCAGGGAAAATAGCCTTTTTTCATAACCAACTAAGTTTTTACCATTTGCTTAACATTCTCTCATATGAGTGCACCATAATTTATTTGAGTATTTTCTTTTGATTACTTAGTTATTTCCCTGTTTTGAGCAACACTAAGTTGAAGAGTTTCGTATATCTTTTATATTTGATCAATGTATATATTTCTCTATAGATATATGTATATATTAATGATATACTAACTTGTATTTGTGAAATTAGAAATACCAGCTAGACAAAAATTGAGGGTAGAGATAATAGTCAGGAGGAAACAGGACATAATAAGGTAAGAGGAGATTTTGAAAAAGTTAGGCAGTTCTGCAGTCTCTTAAGAACAAGCTTGTGGCCATTCCATTGAGCTGTGATGTAAACCTGACTTCAGAAGAAGCTCCACTTTTCGACCTCTGATACTTGCTGTCAAAAGAGCATGGAACACAGCTTGTGTACACTCTCCTAGAAACACAGACACTGAGGGGAAAGAAAAGCAAAACTCCCAAATCCATGCACTCTGGAGAGTTGGATAATGAGATTAGTGGCAATTTTCCCTTTCGTTTTGCTGCATTTTTCAAAGTTTTACCTTGAGGTGTGTTAGATATGTCCATACCCCTGATTATACTTATGGCTCCGTGGGAGTGCACACAGAGGAGGACTGTCCAGGAGAAGTCCAGCCATTGTTAATAAGGAGAATGGTTTGAGTGACGTAAATGTAATCTGGCAGCTGAGGAGAGTGGACTGGAATTCACATGTGTGAACAATGACAACTTCACTGTACTAGTCAGTGACAGCAGTAGAGACCATGTTGAGTGAGCATGTGTACTGTGTGGCTGTCACATTCAAAAGGAGTGAGAAGAGCAACAAATCTGCATCACATTTTGTGTTAAGCTTGAACATTGCTCTGTGGAAACTATTTGGATGATTTAGGAGGTCACAGCTGTGGGCAACTGGTGATTGGCAGCTTCACCACAACAATGTGCCTGCTCATGCATCGCATCTTATGTAGAGTTTTTTGGTGAAACATCCAATCACTCAGGTGACTCAGCACTCTACAGCCCAGATTTGGTGCCCTGTGACTTCTGGTTTTTCCCAAAACTAAAACCACCTTTGAAAGGGAAGAGATTTCAGATTGTCAGTGAGATTCAGGAAAATACAATGGGATAGCTGATGGCGACTAAGAGAACTGTGTGAGGTTCCAAGGTGCCTACTTTGAAGGGGACTGAGGCATCATTGTCCTGTGTACAATGTTTCTTGTGTCTTGTATCTTCTTCAATAAATGTCTCTATTTTTCATATCACATGGCTGGATTATTCTGAACAGACTTTGCATGTCAAAACATTATATTGTACACTTTAAATATATTCAGCTAATTGAATGTCAGTTCTGCCTTAATGAAGCTGTTATAAAATTTAAAAAATTTTTTTGAATAGACAATGCATACATATGGCTCAAAAATCAAAAGGTTCACAAAGAGATACAGTGAAAAGCCAGTGTCCTTCCAGACACCAATTCCCTCCACAAAGGCAATCAGTTTGCGGTGCATCTTTTCAGAGGTGTTCCATGCATGTAAACATTTATGTGAATGTGTTCTTAAAAACACACACATAAGTGGTAATAGACAATGCATAGTGTTTCTTACTTTTTTTCTTAATAATATACCTTAGAGATCATTGCACAGCAGTACCTAGAGAGCCACTTCATTCTTTTTATGACTGTATAATATTGTGGGCTGTCCCTTAATTTATTTAACATTTAATTTTCCAAGCTTTTGCTATTGTAAAAAAAAATGCTTCAGTGATTGTCCATAGCACTGTCTTTTTTTTTCTTAAATAGTTGTTTTTGTTTACATTTCGATCTGTACAGGACGACAGTGTGCTGGCCTTTAAAACCACCTTTCCTGCTTTTAAAGAAATTAGTCAACTATAATTAGAATTTTTGACATGCCCCTTCTTGTTAGGCGATTATTAGTTGCACTTACATGAATAAGGCGTATGCTTAGAGTGGGGAGGAGATGAACCTTTTGAAGGGTGAAGTATTTCTTACCACGATCCTTGTTAAAATGAGGAATGAAGAATTTAATGAATTAATTAGGGATGCCCTCTATAATCTCAAAACACCAGATTTGGGGTCTTTTGCACAGAAATGAAACTCAGATGAAGCTATGATGGATGAGGGTATCCCAACCTGTCTGTGCCTCTGAGAGGAGCCTTGTTCTTTTGAAATCTCTGACTAGATAGGACGGCAAATGAAAAAAAAAAAGGCTAAGTTTTTGTCTACTTTTCATTCTTAAAAACACTTGGTTGCCCTAAATAACTAGGTCTCTGTAATATGTTAGGTACATTCACTATATTCCTTAACCTTTCTGAACATGATGGGACTCATCTCTATGAGAACAGAGGCATTTGGGGGTCAGATACAGGTTTGAATCCCGGGCCCTCTACTAGCACCTGTGCAGCCTCAGTTCTCCTTTGTGTAAATGGAGATGATGGTATAAACGTAATAATAGTTCGTATTCTCAAGTGTTCAGTGTGCCTGGCACTATGTTAAAGTCTTTACCTGCATTTCTCATTTAATTATTGTGACCAGCTTATGAAAAAGAGACACTATCAGCCTCTTCACTTTATGGGGAGGACTCAGGGAAGTGAGAGAGTCACAGGTCATCAGTGGCAGAGCTGGAGCTGATGGCCAAAGCCTGTTCTGACCTTCAGCTCTAGGCTGCTTTGTCAGGTGTTGTGAGAAGGACGCACGATGCACACAAAAGGCGGGTATGCTGGGTGCTCCTGTTGCATTAGTGCTCATAACCTGTCCACACCTTACCTTCTACCAAGGTTCGAATCTGTTTAATTGAACATTTCTCAGGGACAGAGGGATTAGAAGCTCTGTAAGAGATGCTTTTTAACCGCGTGTGTTGCTTGTTTGGGCAGGTTTACCTTTGCGGAGAGCCAGGTACCAGTGGGTCCGCTGCACTCCCGACAGTACTTCTGCAAACTGCATCGATGAAACGGGCCCAGTGTTCGACTTACCTCTGGGCGAATCCAACAGAATCCCCCCTCCGAGGACTGACCCTCTTTCGTAAGTGGACTGGCTCTCTTTTGCTTTCAGCAGTCTCTGTTGCGGCCTCGGTGTGGAGGTGGGAGGGGTGTCTAGGAACGTGTCTTCAGGCTCTTGCTTGGCAGGTTTGGTTTCCACCGCGCGACGCTCGGTGAAACTGCGCCGTGCTTGCTGATGGGTGAGGTGTGTAGGAATGCACCGTTCGGGTCTTCTTCTGCAAAGTCTCTGTACCATGGCAGAGACGGAAAAGAGGGAAAGATTTGTGAAAATATTTTTCATCAATAGGTATTGAAAATGACTGAACACTATCTTATTTGTGTGAATTGAGCACAGTAAATACTAAAATCTAATAAAAGTCCATCAATCTAATGGACACACAGAACGTGGTATATCCCTAAGGTGTAATATTATTTAATATCAAGAAGGGATGAAGTACTGGTACCTGCTACTGTACTGTCTGGGTGAATCCAGAAAACATTATGCAAAGTGAAAGAAACCAGACATAAAAAGATGCATATGTGATTCCATTTATAGGAAATGTCCAGAATAGAAAAATCCATAGAGGCAGAAAATAGATTAGTGGTTGCCAGGGGTTGGGGCGGTGGGGGGAAGGGAGGGATAAAGAGCAATTGAAAAATTGCTAATAGGTATTGGATTCTTGGGGGGGTAATACAAATGTTCTGGAATTAGGTTGAGGTAATTTTTTTAAAAAAGAAGGATTAAGGAAAGGAAGAATAAATGGCTTTGACTTACAAAAAGGAAACCAAACCTCTCTTCCTGATTAAATAAAACCTGCTTTACATTTGCAAAAGAGGTTCAGTGGGAGCTCATAAGTAACAAAAAGTGAATTGCATTAGAACCCATTATTTCAATGAATATCAAAATTACATAACACACAGCAAAAATGAATTACTAAAAGAATTATCCTAAACGTTTTAACCATTAGATTTAAACCTAGAAAACTACTCTCCTCAGAGTCAGGTGAGTCATCTCGCCTAAACCCAGTGAGTCCCTCGGGGCCTCGAGAGCCTGGGGACCCTCTTAGAGCATCACCGTGCTCGCTGGAGAAGAGACTCCATCATCGCCACCCTCAAAACGAAGCTCTGCAGTCCAGCCCCTGTATTTTTACTCTAGGTCCCTGGCTGGACTCTGACTGTGGCAGATTCTGAGGCCACTCCTCCTGTGCCGGGTGCACTGTCCCCACACATCTGCTCCAGGACCTCATTTCTGCAATTACCCCTCTGAACCTGGCGTCTGCCTCCCATCAGTGTGCAGACTTCGCTAGTATCTCCCACATTCAGATAAAATCCCTTCCTTGACTCTGCATCCTCTCTCGCTCTTGCCCTGTTCTCCGCTCCTCTTCCCCGTAGCTCTTCCTGAGGGTAGCCTGTGCTGGCTGTCTCCGCTCCTCTCCTTAACCTCTCCTGCTTGGACTTCCTACCTTCCACCCAGTGGACTTGTTAAGATCACAGTGACTCCTGACAGCACCACTGGTTACTTCTCTGTTAACCTTACTTGACTTCTTAAATGCCTTCAAAAACAAGTGGATCGCCTGTCCTTTGAAATGCTTTCTTCTCTGAGCTTGCGTGGCCCCACCTTATCTTAGGTTTCCTTCTATGTCCCTGGCCATTCTTTTCTCCTCTGCTCAATATTTAATATGTTGGTGTGGCCCTGTCTTGGGCCTCTTCTCTGTCTGCATGCTTTCTTAGGTGACCTCATCCCATTCCATGGCTCTTCATGTTGTGTGTGTGTTATGTGATTAACCACCAAAGCTGTGTTTCCAGCTCTGACCCCTTTTCCCTGACCCTGTGGTCTAAACTAGCCCCCTGCTCACCCTCTATTGCATTACTATACCTCGTTTTTTCTGCCAAGCACTTAGCACAACCTAATGTTTTTCTGATTTATTCACTTTTAATTGTCTGTCTTCCCCACTAAGTTATAAACTTCTTGCATAGGGATCTCATCTGCTGGTCTCCATTCTATTCCAGGTACTCAGAACAGAGATCAGATAGTCAGAAAATATTTATTGAATGCATGCATGGATCAAACGCTAATCTGTCGCATGGCCTGTGGTTTATTGTTTTCATGGAGAAAAAGATCCACAGGTTCTGACACTCAACATTTGTCTCTGAACTTTGTTGCCTTCTTTCGCCACTGAGGGGTGGCGCCATTGCTTCGAACTTCCGATCCGAGTGATTTTCTAACCACCACCCAAAACCCAGCTGAATGAATGCACTTATTTTTTTAGAGGAAATTGAATGTGAATATACTGGCAAATATAATGCTTAACTTGTCCCAACGAATTTCTTACAGTAGGCTTTGTTGAAGCACTGTGAATTATTAAAAGTTTTGTACAAATTTTAAAATAGGAAAGGATGACATCAATCTAGGTTGACTTGTTTGTTCTTTCTTTAATGGGAGAAAGTGAAAAAAAAAAGAGTTGTTTTTTTTTTAAGTGGATCCCTTAAGTAAATTCCAAACATAGGGTTGCTATGCTAGTGATAAGAAAATTAGTATTGTGTATATGAATTTGCAGTGGATAGATGTGGAATTGATCAATTCAGTGGGTTGCATAAATATGCATAGGCAACCATGAGAAGGTCTGACTTATTTTTTGTTTCAAAGCATTGAGTAACTGGGAAATTTTAAACTTTTAATTTGATTAACTGGATGACTGCACTTATTTTCTTACCTTAAAACATGTATTCAATTATCTTTTTTATATTCCAATTTCATGGTAGTTTTTTCATTTTTCTGTCTCACTTCAGAATGACAAGCACTTCGAACTTGAATGATGTCTTCCCGCTTTCTGAGGACTTTTCTGGCTCTGGCTCTGGCTCAGGATCTGGAATCGACTTCCTGACGGGAATGGAACATGAATACCAACCCGCAGATAAAAATGATGCTTTTTATTACGACTTTAAGCCTGTGTCCTCAGGCAACCCAGACTTGGGTCAGAATGAACTAGAAGAGAATTTTATTATGTAAGAGAAAGGGTTCCCGCCTTGACACCAGGCAGTGCACTTGGCGTATTTTGTGTACCGTTGCAAAATGATTAATTTGGGGACAGAAAGTTTTATAGAAATTTTAAAACATCTGATTTATTTACTTTTATTGTCTGTCTGAAAAAGAAGTTTAAGTTTTATCACATTTTTTTTCTCATGGATCATTAAAGCCTCCTTTATCTATACTATTTTCCTTATACTTGCGTTTCCTTATATCATACTCAGCCAACATCACTGTGAAATTAACTAGATTCCAAATGTCTATATTATTGCTTTAAAGACTAAATTGTACTGTTTTTCTTTTTAAAGAAATCAGTTTGCAAATTGACAGGCAGTATTTCATATCTAAGTCTTCAGGAACTTGATTCTGATTTTGAATTACAGCTATACCCTGTTTTTAATTAAAAAAAAAAAACAGATGACACACACAATGAATTTACAAAGTGGGTATTTGACATTCTGACAGTGGAAAGTGTGCAGCTTCAACATTACCACTGGGTGTGTTTGCAGAGTGACTGGACGTAGTTTGTTTAGAAGTATGATTGCTGTTCCAATGACAAACTTTGGCCCAATTCACAGCACGGTTGTGCTCGCGATACCTCGCACAGCTTTACGTCGTTTCTCCTGGATATCTGTGTATTTTCAAACATTATCCTATTGAAGCATAAGAATAATCAAAGGGTTAAACTGTCTGGAATTTTTGGTTCTAAATGCAGGAGAATACTTATTTTTGTGCAAACATTTTATTAACAAAATGAAAGACATTAACAAAATATTTAAATTTTGCTATAGCGAGATCAAACTTTGTAAGTAGAATCAAATCCTATTAACTAATAGATGAAAAAAAATCATACTATGTAGCAAGACGCTTATTCTTGCCCTAGCACTTCCTCTTCTTGAGGGCTATACCCATTTCCATTCCCCTAGTTCAGTGGAGCCTGTTGCGTTGATTGTCATGGACCCTGTTCTGCACTGTCCAGATCTATTCAGAACTGAAGACTCACATTAATCTTTGCTACAGAGAGCCACCCATCCAAGGTCACACCTTCTTCTTAGGGCAGCCTGTCTCAATGACTGGTTGCTGTAAGCATTTGAATGTGAGGCTCCTCCCCTGAGTTTGGGGGCAATTTAGAAGGGCTGTCACAGATTCAGAGCTCCCCGAGGGCTCTGCGGAGGCTTTGTTGGCACTGCTTTGCAGCTCAATTTCTTAGTCTTGCTTCCTTCCATTCCCCTCACAGCTATGCCCCCTTAGAAACTTTCTGCACTCTAGTTTTCATCAAGAATTTGCTGCATGGAGAATCCAACCTGTGACAATTGGTGCCAGGACAGCTAGAAAGCAGGTGGTAAAATGTGATTTTGGAGCTAAATCACCTGCTGCCTGGCTGTCAATGAGAACCCCACTCTGGCCATAGATGCAGCACAGGCACAAAATAGCATTGCAATTGTTAAAACTTTCACTGGGGATGAACTGGGATGGTGTACCAGTGGAAGGAAGTATGCCAAGGAATGACAGACATATCAGGCATCTGAGAAATATGGGGATGGAGGAATTATAAAGACAATGGTATTAGATAGCTATTGCTGGGGGCAATTAATGCTTTTAAAAGAGACAATGAACTCTGGCTGGTGTGGCTCAGTGGACTGAGTACCGACCTGGGAACCAAAGGGTCGCTGGTTCAATACCCATAAGGTCGCATAACCTGGTTGCAGGCCAGGTCCCCAGTGGGGGGCACACAAGAGGCAGCCACACATTGGTGTTTCTCTCCCTTTCTTTTTCTCTCCTTGCCCCTCTCTGTAAAAATAAATAATAAAATCTTAAAAATATAAAATGAAAGGCCAAGGATGATTAATTAAAGGCTAAATGGGAAAACTAGTGAGCCTCCTTGACAGTATATTAAGGAACTCTTCTTCAGTAGAAGGGCAGAGAAAGCTGAGGACCAGGTCCAGGATGTAATCCTAAGAATATCAGAATTCAAAAATGTTTAATTGTTAACCTGGTCAAGTTGATTATGCAAGATCTGGTACCAGACTGGAAGAAAAAATGGGGCCCTGAAAGAAAAGGACATCTGGATTGATACATTCAGATTTTAAATTCCCAGATTTCCTCAAACCCTCTGACACTATAAAGGACCTCTCTTTAAGAACTAACGATTTCCACCCTGGCTGGCGTAGCTCAGTGGACTGAGCACAGGCTGTGAACCAGAGGGTCGCTGGTTTGATTCCCAGTCAGGGCACATGCCTGGATTGCAGGCCGATCCCTGCAGGCCAGTTCCCAGCAGGGGACGCAAAAAAGGCAACCATACATTGATGTTTCTCTCCCTCTCTCCTTCCCCTCTAAAGATAAATAAATAAATAAAATCATTTAAAAAATGAATAAATAAAATCTTGAAGAAAACTAATGATTTCCTCCACCTTGAAGGTGATTAAGAGACTTCTGCCCTTCAAGACTATGTGCATAATCCCTCAAGGTCTGTCCACACCTCCCTCCTACCCACCAGATCAATAACTAACAGGAAAGTGTTGGACCTGCTAAAGAGGAAAGGTACCATACTCTGAAGGTTCTGCAGGACGTGTCGTGTACCTCAGAAGCAAGGAGAGTGTCTATGCGACTTAAATCTAAGAGTGCCAGGTCATGTGAAGGAGATAAAACATAGAGTTGGATAAGGGAGTATTTACCAGTATTACTGGACTAAAGGTGTTTGCCAGCACGCATCACAGTCCAATAAGACACACACAAGAGCTTGCAGCAAAGAAAGTGACGGTTTATTAGTTGAGGAAGTGGCCCACATCCGGAGTCCCAGGTGAGCTAATGCTCCGAGACCTGGCTTCCTGATGGCTCCTAGGGGATGGTTTATACAGGAGAGAGTCATTAATTATGGTGACCAGTGGAGTTAGTGTTTCGGTCAGGGTCAGCCTGTCTACCGATTGGCCAGCGCTGGGGGATGAGGCAGTTGATCATTGCATCTGGTGCAGCCATGGCATCACTTCATCTGGTTTCATTGCTTTTCTGAGTCTGGAGTTGGAACACAATTGGAACCTAGACATTATCTTTACTTTGATTGAAATGCTATCTCTGGTCAATAGACCTGAGGCTTTGTTCCTAAGATTATTTGATGCCACCAGGGGCTTGCTGTCCTGAAGGCTTAATGATTAAGAGACTGGACGTGCAAGGGAGAAGAAAGCAGGTGAGTCGGGGTGCTGAATGAGGCACTGATTCAAAAGGGAAGAAAGGAGAAAAAGTCATACTAGAGAAATAAAGTTTCTGCATGGATACACCAATGTGGAAGAACTCTTTTGGCATACAGGTTTTAACACCCTGGCAAGAACCCCAGGAGAAGGTGTTGACATCCTGCTAGAATGGCTCTTAGAAGTTTGGAGAGAGTAACAGTCCCTCTTAAGTAAAGTAGAAATGCTAGAATTGCCATTGAAGGAAGCGGAAGAAGGAGTCAAAGGTTTAAGGAAGTGAGCATGCTGGAATGTACCGACTGTATAAGCCTTGAAAACCCTCAAGGTGACTTTGTTCTGTAGGAAGTCCAAACAATGAAGAATATGCTGGTGAGAGACAGCATCTCTGAGCTACCAGTGGTAAGCCTCCTCTGAAGGGTAGAGCTGACGGTATAGATGTCACAGAACTGGATTTACTAATAGCAATGGGAATGATAAATCCCCAAAATAATAGAGGCCAGTAGTATCCTCAGCTCTCAGAAGCCAGGTGGTACAATGATCATAATGAGCACGAAGGTTAGAATGAAATCCAGGAGAGCCTGATGGGCAAAGAGTTATGGAGAGGGCCTTTTTAGAGGTGAAATAGTTGGTAAGAGTTCTGCATTAAGTTAAAGTGTGTTTTGGAGAATGTGGGGCACCTCACCCCAACCAGCCAGTCTCCAACAGCAACTGGGTATCTTGTAATTTACCTCAGTTCTGAACTGCCTACCTACAGATAACATCAGACTCCACAGGTTAAGGGCTCAGTCCCATAGACTGCTTTCCACTTCAGATGCCAATCACAATGGTCATTTTTTTCCAGTCCCCATGTTATAACTAGGGTGGACATACTTGATAGTTAGCATAACTTCCACATGCTGTCTTGACCTGTGAGAGAAGAGCTACTGTGATGAGGAAGACCAAGCAAAAACTTCTGCCACTCCTCCCCCCATATCCACCAATAAATAAAAAACATTTCATCTGGGCAGGAATGTTGGAGATGAGCAGTGCCTTTAAAAACCTAACAAAGGCAGGAATGCTGGTCCCCATTGTCTCTCCATTTAATTCACTAGTCCAGGTCTTGCAAAAACCAGGTGAACCCTGGAGGATGACGGTGGACTATCACAAATTCAACCAAGCAGTACTTCTAATTGCAGCAGCTATGCCAGATGTGGAACTTTGGCTAGGGCAGACTTGCACAGCTTCAGGTATGTGGTAGGCAAGCCCAGAGCTGGCAAATGCTGTCTTTTCCATCCCTGTCAAAAGGAGGACCAGAAACAGTTTATGTTCTCTTCGGTAGGACAACAGAATATATTTACAGTCTACTCCCAGTTCCAGGCTAACTCTTCTACCCTCTGTCATGATATGATACAAAGACACCTGGACTGGCTGCACATTTCACAGAATATCATGTAAGTCTACTGTATCACAGGGTCATGAGTGTGTGACCAGATACTCCACCTGATGTACCACTGATGCCCTGTTATCTCTCCTTCAGCCCACATCTGTGACTATATGGTGGAGGGGTGTGTGTGTTCCTTACAACCAAATGACTATTAGAGTAGGAATAAGATCAAGCTTGGTTCACAGATGCACTGCCCTGGTGTATGGGTGCAAGTCCAAAGTGGATGGCAGTGCCAGTCGGGAGTGGCCTTGGACATAACTATGAGAGGAAACCCTCCCAATGTACAGCGCTTCAGAAGGTGTACCCAGTCACTTACTCTGCATGGAAAGAGAGAACTAGCCCAACATTAGAAAACAGGGTTTTATGGGCAGTGGTGAATGTTTTGGTCAGTTGGTCAGGAGCCTGAAATAGAAGATTGCAAGTTTGGGGACTAAGAAGTCTGGGATGAAGGCATGTGAATAGACCAATTAGAGAAGATAACAAAGTGGGAAAATCTTTTTTCTTTAAAGATTTTATTTATTTTTAGAGAGACAGGGAAGGAAAGAAACGTCAATGTGTGGTTGCCTCTCCCATGCCCCC